TGACAGCGCCAGTTTCCGTAGACTCAAATTTTGTGCTTCATTTTCTCACATTAACTGGTAATGTTTAAGCGTGATAGTTAATTTGAAAAAGCATATTTTATATACATTATCTTACGTTGGAAGCACAAATATAAGAAAACAGTTACACTCGTGTGCTCATTTATCGTCAACGTAAACAAACTGCGTGACTGATTCGAGTATTTCCCCTGATGAATAAAGTAGACAGAATTTACATAATTTGCCGTTCCTTGGTTCAGGCACACTCTTATGGATCTTTTCCCGCCGATTCCAAACAATATTTGAACGGATAAAGACTGAGCTACATGTATCTGTCGTAACTGGAACTAATCAACAAATGCAATCAAAATACAGCTGGTTTCCCACAATTAACATTCCAAAGACAAGGCGATTCAAAGTCATGTTCGTTAACATACAAAATAAACAAGGACAATTCCCTCAGATTTCAATAAATGCCACCATCGAAGCGTTTATATTCACCAATATCCAACGCTGAGAGCACAACATAGCGAAGCCCATGGCGACTGAATGGAAAGAAGTCAAAAAAAGATCCAGCGCAATGCCAAGCTGACATGGCCTGCTTACATGCTCACAAGTTCACCACATGTCTTATCACATGTAATCATGTCTTAGTGTTCAACAGTACACTGCTTACATGCTCACTGCTTACATGCTCACAAGTTCACCACATGTCTTATCACATGTAATCACATGTCTTAGTGTTCAACAGCACCAGTTTACTGGCCGTGACATGCCCCTGCAAAAATCAAGTGGGGTGGCCACTTTGGTGTCCTTACAGGAATGTGGAGTTTTTCAGAATATAACTGTGCACAGGGAAACCAACTCTGGAAAGCCACAGGCCAAAATAAGGCTTGCTTTCTTCGAACGCAACAACAGAATAGCAAGTGAGTGGCATAGCAAATACGAGAACACCATTGGTGACAGAACACTAGTAGATTTATACTAAATATAAGTTATAGAAACAGTTGCAAAAGTTTGAGGGGGCTCAAGTTTCTACTGCATTTCCCTCTCTCCCAAACTTGAGGGTGGTAAAGGGTATTTTCGTGACTTGTGATCGGCCCTTTTTTTCCGTGAAATGTGAAATGGCTAATTTTTTCCTCATGAATTGCGATTTCCATAGTCGCCGTGAACCATGATTTTCCAAAACGTTCTCTTTTACTTTCCGTGAAGCGTGAAATGCCAATGATGTATTTTTCGTGAATTGTGAAAGGGCTGCTTTATTTTCCGTGAAATGTGATCCATACCCCCGCTTTACCACCCTCAAACTTCTACTTGTATCACTTCACAGAACCTCAGAAAATTTTTTTTTTTATTATTTCTAAAATTAGAAGAACTTATTTTAATGATCTTAAACTATAACTGCAAACAGGCTGATCGCTTTACCTAATCCTACACTAAAATTAAGGCTGGTTACTTCAGCTAATAATCTACATAAAGCTGCATAAAGATGTCCATCCTGCTTCCGGCCCCAGACTAAAACCGAGTGTGTTCATTAAATTAATAGACATTTCTTTCATCAGTTCTTTCGATTTTAATTAGACATGAAAGGAGCTTTACTTCCTATAGATTTATGAGTTTTTCAAAAAAAATCATTCTTTATATCATACAATTTGAAAACGCAATCTACACCTACCGGATTTTTCAGCAAAGAAATGAAATCCGGTTTGAACTTCTTCAAAGCAACTTCAAGTTCATGGTATATTTCTGGACTCTTCTTATATAAAGCTCGTTCCACGCTTGCCTGAAGCTCCTTATACGGTCTCCAAATTCCTAAAGATAATATAAAGCCAGTAAATCACATTACTTTAACATGACAACTGCACAAAACGTAGGGTTTTTTCA